CCCCAAAACCCCAAAACCCCAAAACCCCAAAACCCCTACTTGTGACATATAATTGAATTAGCAAGTAAAAATATAATTATTAAATATGAAATTAACAATTGTTTTGTTATGTGCTTTAGTGGCATTGACTGCTGCCGCTCCTCAACACCACTTTGCTGTGCTTGTTGCTGGTTCAAATGAGTACTGGAACTACAGACACCAAGCGGATGTTTGCCATGCTTATCAACTTGCTGTTAAATCTGGTATCCCTCAAGAAAATATCATTGTAATGGCTTATGACGATATTGCTAATAATCACCTTAACCCTCTCCCAGGTAAAATCTTTAACAAGAAAGATGGTGTTGATGTCTATGAAGGTTGCAACATCGACTACAGTGGAGCTGATGTCACTCCAGAGAAGTTCTTGCAAGTCCTCCAAGGTAAAGCTGACGGAAGAAACATCAAGACAGATGAGAATAGTAAAATCTTTGTATTCTTCTCTGATCATGGAGCCCCAGGGTTAATTGCCTTCCCAAGTGAAGAGTTGTATGCTGATGACTTGCACAAAACAATCAAGGAGATGCATGATGCTAAATCTTACAACCAGATGCTTGTTTACATTGAAGCTTGCGAGTCAGGATCTATGTTCGACGGAATTCTTGAAGACAACCTCGATGTCTTTGCTACAACTGCTGCTAACCCAACTGAATCATCATGGGGATACTATTGCCACCCAGATGACACTGTCAACGGAGTGAAGATTGGCTCTTGCCTTGGTGATGAGTTTGCTATCACTTGGATGGAAGACACTGAGAGAGCTTTGGACGAACAAGTAACATGCGATTATCTCATTAATGACCAAGTCGGCTATGTTACTTCTACTGTTAAAGGTAGCCATGTTATGCAATATGGAGATGTCGGAATTAAGAAGCAAGCAATTGGAAACTTCCAAGGAATCTGCTATAAGCCATCAGCAATTGAAACTTTAATGAAACCAGCCAATAAGAGACACTCTCATGGAGACAGAAAAGAATATGCTAAAGTAGATTCTAGACTGGTCAAGCTTGATTTCTTGTATAACAGATACATGACAACTCAAAGTGCTGAAGATGCTCGTAAACTTCAAGAAGAACTTGATAAAAGAATTGAGATTGAAGAGAGATTTAACATCATCAGAGCTAGAACTAATGCTAGATTTGAAGAACACCCAAAAATTGAGAAGCCATCCTGCTACAAGCAAATGGTTCAGACCTATAAATCCAAATGTGGAATGGATGAATACGATCTTGAGTTCCTCAACCACTTCGTTAACATGTGTAACTCTGGAGTAGATGTTGAGCATCTCTCAAACTTGGTGACTGAACATTGCTAATCTAATCCATTCCTAATCACCAATTTTTAAATAATTTCAATACTAATTCGAACAAAAGGGGTTTTGGGGTTTTGGGGTTTTGGGGTTTTGGGGTTTTGGGG